AGCTGGCAACAATCATTGCAAAATGATAAAATTTAAGTAACATGTCTGAACATACCATGTCAGGGTAGTAAGCCTGTGCTCTGAACTGGCCGTCTTTGGTCTTCACCACTGTGAAGAGGATTGGAAGGTCGATGATGTCTTCATCATCCAGATCCAGCTCTCTCTTCAATACATCCCTGTTCCAGTCGATGCAGCTCTGGGAGGGAGAAGCCAGTCAAAAGATAGTATGCATTTCAAATACTGTGCAACACGGTATTGCACAATGCTCATTTTTGCTTGATAAATTCCATGACCCAAGTCTTATCTTTGCAAATGAACCTCATGTAAACAACCAAGATTGTACCACGTTTGTAAATGATTAATCGTTTTACCTATAATTTCAGCTTTAATTTTATCATATATGAGACCTCATGATCATTTTGGTTTGGGCTACCTTTGCTTCAGACACAAAGCCACTGATGTGGCCAGTATATGGACACCCCTCCTAAATAGAAGCTTCTGCAGCTTTGGCCAGATCAACTGCAAACAAAAATCAAGCATACAGCCTTGCATCTGCTATTGACAAGCAACTGGTCACAGTGCGCCGTCACTTTCAGTGTGGATCTGTCACAGGATGCCATCATTCTAAAATCTTAGTTTGTCAGTAGTTTGTATTACTAGATTTACTTTGGCTAACAATAAGAGTATACCAGGTGCTGTGACTACATCCAGCTACCCATGCTAATACACTCTATGTGCCAGGCCCAAGCCTAGACGAAAAGGGGAGGGTTGCTTCTGGAAGGGCATCCGGTGTAAATCTTTTGTCAAATCGCATAGGCGGACTGCAGTACTCCACTGCAGTGACCCCCTCAAAGGATGGAACCAAAAGAGAAACAACAACTGTAGGCATAGTCCCTTAATTCCAATGAAGGGAAAACCTTATGCCACAGCACCCTGTCTTTACTGACATCCAGCAACTGGGATGAACTAAAACACTGACAGTGTGCCAGACCTTATCAACCAACATCACTACCAGCTCTCATTAATGTTCTTTTGGCTGAATGGCAGAAAATCCCTGTAGCCAGGTTCCAACATCCTGTGGAAAGCCTTCCCATCGAACGGACAGTGTTCTAGATGGATAATTAATGCCCATAGTTTTGGAATGAGATATTTATTAATCAGATTCTGTATGACTTTCACAGACTGAACTAGGATTTCATGATCCTTTCTGGGCTTGAGTCTAACCCTACAATCCCACTCACCTGTACATAGTTATTCTGAACACGGAAATTTTCATCACTAAGTATCTCGTCCACTGTTACCGGCTTTTCACCTTGCAGATCTTTTGGGGGGAATTGTAGAGATCAAGTTATAAATTAAATGATTCATTGGTTCATTGTTAAGCTGCACATTGCAGATAAACAGGTCTACCCTCAAAGAGTTCATTGTTAAGCTGCACATTGCAGATAAACAGGTGTACCCTCAAAGAATTTGGCCTGTCCGTGACCATCACGCTGTAAGCCTTTGAAGAGTTTGTAGGCCGCGTCTGGGCTGGCCAGCAGCAGCCGGAAGCCCTGTGAGCAGACACAAAGGAGACTAAGGTAACACTGCTGTCTCTGCTGAGAGCTTATATAATCCTCCAGTTTTGAGTTTTCTCTCTTGAAGAGAGAATCTTTACCTTTCTGTCAGGTGCGGGAACAAAACTCATGAATTCATCAACGTGGCCGACAACAAGCCAGTCAGAAAACAAGGCAATGGGAGCCTGAACCTTCTGAGCCCATAGGAAGTTTTGAACTACTTTGGTCATGTTGCGTCCTTGAGTTGCCCTTAAAGAAAGAAAGCAAAGCAAATTTATAAAAGTTCTGTCACGTGTTATTTTTACTGTGCTGCCCTACAACAATGAACTGAATATATTACTCATACAAAAAGTTGTTCATACATAACTCAGTGATTGATATCTCATCTCTAGACCTGTTGAAAACTCACGTAGGGAAGGCCACTCCAATAATGATTCTGCCCAGGGGGTAGTGTTTTCCATTCACAGTAACAGGAGGACTAACCTCCAGATTACCAAACGAGTCCAGGCTGCCTGCCTCCTCGTCGTAGGGCACCCTCGTCACATGGCCAAAGTCGGGGCCCTGAGAACATGAAGTTGATAAAGCTAAGGCACAAAATCACGCCACCATTAGACCTTTAGCAGGAGTGAAAGCATCGGAGTTAGTCTCTCACCAGTAGCTCGTCATATGGAAAGGCCTGAAGCCCTCTATCTCGAGGGGAATCCAAAACAACAGGAAACTGCTGATGAGGTGAGTCAATGTAACCAAACTCCAGCTCATCCTGAAAAATAGATTATATGAATGATTTTTTTTTTTCTGTCCTAATATTTAAGTTCTTGTCAGAGGTTTTACTGACAACTACTGCCTCATTGGTGTTGGTCTTTTCTGTATGCATGTTTCATGTAAATCAATTTTTTAAATGAGTTTTTCTGTGCTCTTCTTTCTGATGATGTTCATCCGCTGACGCTGTCGCTGATACTGCAGTTTCCACATAAACTGACTCATTTTTCAAATAAGTAGATTTATTCTCTTGTTGATCTTTTTCTCAGAAGTGCTGGTTTACCTCTAATTCTTTCTTCCTCTTTAATTTCACAGTGTAGGCATTAAGAAATCTGCTGCACCCATACTTGTGGTGTAAATAACCTGTCATGCCATGGCTTATTTTCAAAAGAAGAAGCACTGAATTTCCCCACACAACCTCCAGGCTCTCTCGGGTTTTTCACAAACAGTATAGATGTTTGCACTATTAATATTGTTTATAGCAGACAAAGCTAAAATTAAAATGAAAGGGTGACACATAGTATAGTCTCCTTACCTGCATCCAGCGATCGTCTCTGGACTTCCACTCACTACAAATCTTCAGCTTTGGCTCGCACGTCGTAAGGCTCTTCATTCCTTTCAGGAACTCAGAGTTGTCAGATGTGCTGAGTAGGTAACCACGCACAGAGAAGCAGTTTTTGTCAAGTAATCATCTGCAATTTTCTCTGGCTTTTTAAATCTTCCAATTCCCCAAATAAACAACATCAATGTCATCCAAATTTGGGGTAAAACAAGACAATGAAATACTTTAAAACATTCAAAAATAAAATACTTCAAATCACAAAGGAAAACTTAAAACAAGTCAGAAGTGCTGATACACATAACTGTTAAGTCATTTACTGTACATAAAATTTTCTTGGAAGTATAAGTTAAAATGAAGGAGAATGTGTTAAGCTAACATCCTGTTGATACAGCTATTGTCATCGTCATCTTTATTTTTCATCAGGCTCCTCTTACCGGCAGACAAACACCTCTATAGGCGCCAGGGTGTTGGGTGTCATGATCCAGGGTGCCACTCTGAACACGACTTTGTCTGTGAAAATGGGTGTTTCAGGGATGCCCTGTCAAAACATCAGAGGCTGCTGAGTACTGCTAGCTATTCACAAGTAAAGAAAGTAAAGAAAAATGCCATCTAAAACTAATTTAACCTTTGTTTTTTACTAAACAAATTCACTTCAAGTCACAAATGTGCCAAATTCTGTTATGTTGTTATCTCAAGGTCTGAGATGTAGTCAGAAGCTTTGAAACTATTAAATACACCTTAAGTTAAGATTTTTTGTCAAAATATATTGGTTTTTTTTTTTAAACAACACCATTACAGACAATTTGCATAAAATCCAGAGTAAAAAGAGATAGAAAATGAAATAAAGATGTGAAAACTGTGGATGTTTCAGGTCTTACTGCACAAATGGGCTCTAATAGACTGAGGTGGATGGTGATGAGCCCATCGAAGTCTTTGTCAGGAAACCTGAGACCTTCCACATAAAAATTCATCTCTGATGCACCTCCAAGGTAAGGCACTTCCTGTGCCAGGATGCTATGGCTCAGCACCAGTGGATAGTCCTTCACGAAGAAGTCAAAGAGGTTTTTCTTTGCTGATGTAAGAACAAGATAAACAAGGTTCAAATACTGAGACATCTCATTTAGAGAAAGAAAATAATAACATTGGTAAAAAGAAAAGTCTAAACATAACCAGTTAGACACCTTAAGTAACCAGTTGAATTACATGTATGTTATATCATCTGTTTGGAGGTTTCCATCTTTACTTACCCAGGGTATTTCCCACTACATTAGGGGATTTGGCCCTGAAGACTCTGACACTCTCTGCATCGTCCTGAGAGATGTGCATGCTGAGCTTATAGCCTTGAGGGAGTTTGGCAGGGCCTCTGGTCCGTAGCACCATGGGTGACATGTCTTTCAGATCTACATATCCAAAAATAGTTGAATGATTCTAAATATGCAATGTTGATGTGACATAAATATGCTTTTTGCCTCTAGCGTTAAAGCTAGAAACTGCTGTCAGCATGTGGTCAGATGTTAGCAGGAAGGTATACACCAGGGAGAACACTGCACCTGTTTTCACTCTCAAATTTCAGCTCAACTGGTTCATCCACAAAAAAGTCGTTTAACCTGCCCTTTATGCTCACAGAGGACTTTTGTATTTGTATTTGATCACAGTTCTATATGTGATCTTTGCAAAATGCAAACACTGTATGACTAGCCTTTTAATGCCGACAGCAACCATAGGTAAGTTCATTATACAGTGAGAGGAAGAAGCTGTACTGATACTCTTTTACCAGACACATAGGAGATGGTCATGGGGTCCTGCAGGTTGTCTGGTTTCTTCAAGTAGGACCGCTCTGAGTCACAGTTGACCAGCAGGATGGCTCCATGCCCATTAGGACCCCATTTCCAGGAGCCCTAACAAATAGTCAACAAACCAGACACAGTATTGCAAATTACATTTTAAGCAGGAGCACTCGAAAACGATGAAAATGCAGTGCAGAGTTTGGTCCAAAAATAGAATCCTATCCATTTTGTTCCACTTGTTATTGCTTATCAGAAAGTGACAAAATCAGAAAGTTTCCCCATTCATTATGTGTCAGAGTTTGCACTGCCATCCACACCTGCATGTCTTAGCTCACCTTGTTAGGATTGTTTTTCTCCACAATGGCATCTCTGTCAGCATCCACATCCAGAGAGATCTCTGTATGACAGATACATTGCCTTTGTCACTGACTGTCTTTCTCTGGCCAAAACATTCCAAATAGTGGCTCCAGTCACACAAACTGCTGCTTTCGAAAAGGATGTTTTTCTGCATTTCTGCATTAACACTATGTAAAGTGCTGTATACATGAATCATCTAGATATATAAAATATAGACCATTGTGGTTAAAATATGAGCCATGTTTAAAGGACAAAACATTAAACAAAAAATTGGTATCTCTCTCTCTCTCTTATCTTTTTATTAAAGTTCAATGAATGTTGTTTTACAATGTTTTAACTTACCAACAGCTGTCAGGTGCAGAACTGCTCTCCCCAGAATTTCTTTATTCTTCCCATAGTACTGGATAGACAACTTATAAAACAAAGGCACAGGTCATTTAGAAAAACAAAATGACTATATTCCATAGCATTTTTATTGAGTCTGAAACTTTTTGGATTATGAGTTGTAGGTATAGTGCAAAGGAAAGGCTCTTGAACTCTGTACAGATTAGATGATCTCATTTGGGTATTTGAAGAGTTATAAATCATTAATACATGTTTGAGAGAGGCACAGATGCAGCAGGGAGGGTTTGGCAACTTGTGTTTCAAGATCTGCTCGAAGTCAAAGTCAGTATCAGAATGCGGATATTTTAAAAATGGCACAACAGTATGTATTCACACAAGAAAGGAAAAAAGTGAATCATCTGTTTTCACATGAACTTGAATTATGTTCCTGAGTCTGCAATTTCTCATTTATGACCAGCTTGTCTCCTTTATGAAATCAGTATCCTGTATTTCTGCCCTACTTTACCTTGCTTTCATTTTCAGACTGACTGGCACGGCTCATGGTGATGAGTAGTACCGAGTTTCCGCTGAGAGGCATGGGAGAGAGGTGGGATGCCCCCTTAGGCGGGGGTCTGATGTTGTACTGAACTTCGGGTCTGCATTTCACAGAGAAGAACACGGAACCATGGGGGGCACTCCTGAGAGAAATGGCACATTTGATGCATGTTACAACTGTGTTTACACCACATGTACATAGTGTATCAAACATGCTGTGCAATGTGTAAGAGCAGACATTTCTTCACATACAAGTGAGGAAGAGCTCTGACTTAAGCAGACAAGCCACAAGCTCATATTTCGTAACAGGTGGTAAGCCAAAGTAGAAGCTGTAGTCATGATAAAGTTAGTCTGCAGTTTCCATATGCTTGGAAGGCTGTAAATAAAAAACGAATTTAAAACATATACTGTACTGTTGATCTATAGAGACAGAATAAAACACTAGAACAGCAGGTGGGAATGTTTCCCTCATGTCTCACTTGTAGAACCAGAATTAACTGATTAAATGCTCCAGTAAAAATATAGGCCACTGTATATCCCTGTTTCTGTGGAACCTAAAGCTCTTCCTGGTATTCGTCTCAGGTGAAGACATGTCCTCTATATGTTCCCTAAGGACCAAGACAACTGATGAGCGTCTCAGGTGAAGACATGTCCTCTATATGTTCCCTAAGGACCAAGACAACTGATATTCCTACATTTTACTGCCACTTGCTCTAGCATGTCAGCTACTGTAGTTTGCTGTTATATCATTAACACTGGGTTATTTAGTTCTGAGAGTTTTCCTTGCTGAGCTGCAGTGAGCCAGCATTAACACCTGGATTTTGCCCAAAAATACTAACTTTGGAAGATCCACTTGATTTGTCTAACCCCGACTGTTGAAACATCATATTAGCTGAATATTAAAACACACTTTTGCACAAAATTAGAACTGTGGATTTTGTCACCCACACTAACATTGGCATCATGTTATGACGAGATCTCTGTGGACAGGAGGAATGATTATTACAGTGAATAACTCATGGACAAAGACCAATGAGTGGATAACTTTTCAAATTATATTAGATGTTTATTTTTGGATATTCCAAAAACCCCGCAGAGACCCTGGGGATCCAGGCTGGGAGCCAGTCTGCCATTCTGCCCTGTTGGTAATCCATCTTTGCCTTTGTGTGGGCTGGCATTTGGCAGAATGTATAGCCTACATTTGTTTGGTACAAAGTCTCTCTTGTTAACAGTGCCAACAGAGGACTGTTGATACTACACAAAAGAATCACGAGATCTGCCACAACCAGGATCTGCACATAAATAACATGAGCCTCACAGATTAGTGGGGAAGATGAATCAGCAGCAGAATTCTTAAACAGTCTGATGCCAGTTGATTATGTACACAACTGCTAGTGTGCAAACTGATAATACAACTCTCCTGCAGCAAAGAGTGCATATAATATTTAGCACTAGTGTTACTGAGATAAAATGAGGCGGACAAACACTTCAACTTCATTATAAATGTTTAACAGAAAACAGTTAGAAGGGTTGTTGCATTAGAGTACTTTACTTTTACTGCCAATCCAGTGAACATGTGTTTAATGAAAATTTAGCAAATAAATAGATCAAATCTATAATTTAACCTATGCATGCCAACTGTTGAACTGGTTGTCTAAAATGAAAATACAATGGGACATACACACGAATAGAATAGAATAGAATAGAATAGAATAGGAGCAATTCTGCAAAATTTCCAAGCAAAGTCGAACACAGCCCAGATGCATCTCTGTGGATGTGTATGTACATTATGCACAGTCTAAATGACAACGGGTCTAACAAGTGCCTACCTGCTCAGGTTTACATCTAGTTCGGTGCCCACAATGTACAACACCTGAGTAACTGTGTCATACTTTACTCTCAGAGTCCGGGAGCGACTCATGGTTGCTGTCCCGTCGCAGTTACGCTGGTACTAGTAAATACCCGTTGTCTGGAGATGAAGACGCAAAGTTGTCCCGCAAACCGTCGCTGAGCGCACCAAGCGGTTATAAAGGCTACAGGTGCTGAAGGCTCAAGTTTCTTGGCTTCTCTTATTGGTCGGCGAACTCGACCCGCACACTTCAGACACGTGATTCATGTCTCTGTCTGTCTCTCGCTTCATCTGTCCACTTAGTCACCCTCTCTCTATTTTGCCTTAAGGTGTGTTGTTTATTTAGGCTAGTCGAGGCGAGGCACGTTTATTTGTACATCGTATTTACACAGAGGCAACTCAAAGAGCTTTACGCAATGCACACACACAGATGAAATGCAGAGGCGTGTTTTTTTCTATAGCCTATCATGACACAGAACAATAAAAAATAAATAAAAGCTGTTGTTTCTTAAACTAACAACCTAAATGTTATTGATAAAGTTGTTTATCCGTGTTCCGTGTATATCGTGGTTTGTGGGTATCGTCAATTACATGAATTGCATGCAACATGTAGCCTATGATGGGTGTTTGTGTTCGTGTCCTCGCAGTTTACCTGCTCAGGTTTGCAGTCAAGGTGGTGCCAACAACATGGAGAACACACTGCAGATGTTCTACGTCCAGACGACATGTTCGCAGGTATTCGGGGCACCCCTGTGCCTTCTTATTTAAGAAGGAAGGTAGGCCTACATTAGTTTGAACAAGTTCTTGAAACATGGTTAGTTGTTGTTTTCCTCAGACTGATGTGGGATTTCTAGGACGGATGCCCGGAATGTATTTGTAATTTGAGAAGGGAGACCCACCTTTTACTTCCAAGGAATAGGTAAAGGGCGGTTTGAAAAAAACTCAAGGTGCTTGTTTTGTGCTGCGGCACAGGAAAACTGTAAAAGTCTAAAGAAGCTAAAGGCTGCAGAAATGGGTTTGCCCACAGACTACGGCGTGATAAGATTTTACTCTAAATAAACGTTATTTTGATATGATTTAACATATGGATGGCGCTACAAACGCGGAGATCAGTGACATGAAGGACTATGCATAATAGCATTTTCACCACTTTGAAAAGTGGTGAAAATGCTTTGTTTTTATTATTATTATTTTCCTTGGAATTGTATATTCATGTAATAGCCTACTCTGGGTGCTGAGTGACATACTATACAAACATAACTTAAAGACATAAAGCAGAAATTATTACCACCAAGAATGGAAAATAGGCTAATAATTCATCCTAGATCACCAGGCTACTGAAAAAACTTTCTGCTGTGTACCGTAGAGGCTACCATAAAACATACCGAACTGAGCTCCAATCAAATCGGTGCAAAGATTTGACAGACTTGAAGCCTGACCAATGGAACAACTGTAAACATGCTAGAGAGAGGCGGGACCTAGGATATCATATGTCATCAACTAAAAGCGCTTTGTTGTTCTTTCGGGATCCAAAGACGGAGAAAATATATTTTCAGTTTTCAACACTCTGGGTTAAGTGAAGATATTGTTTCATTTGGTTACATGTGATCGAAAACCAGTGTATGGAACCGGCGCCGTCTGGTGAAAAGTGGCGTATCTGTGGCACAAAATCTGATCATCGTTTAGTTAGCGTTAGCCACTCCTGGAGAGCATAGTCCAGATAGGAGCGGAAGGAATTCCAGGCATTGGGAAGAAGGGGAGAAATCTGTGCTGAAGATGCCTCATGCAACTTGGAAAACATTTTATTTTACAGTTCCGCCTGGAAGCATGGCATTATAACCTGAAGTATGTGCTTGTTTGACTGATACCACATTGCAGGAGCTATATGATGGTGTTTTTGTAACTGTAACCGTGTCAGTTTAACGAGTTAGCCACGTAGCTACATAGCCTTCAGTAGAAAGGCATTTAAAATGGCGGAGGGTTGGCCCATTCCTTCGGCCCTTGTCTTCATGCTGCTGAGTTTGAGTGCCTGGGCCCATGAGTCTTGTCCTACTCCCTGCTCGTGTTTAGAAGGACAAGATAATGCCAGTATTCTAGACTGTAACAGGAAAAGGCTGTTGACGGCTCCAATGGACCCACCAGATGAGATAACCCAAGTGTAAGTAATGTTACACAACATAAGCAGTTACACATGAATGTGTTGAAGTTAGTCCTGTAACGTTACTGCATTGCACTGCACTGATTTGTTGCTCAGCCAAAGAAACCTCATTTAGTAAAATATGTATTAACCACTTGATCTAACTTGATTTTACCCCCAGTCTCTATGGTTTAGTTTTGTTTTAGGACATATTGTATATTTCCCTTTCTTTCAGACAACTGTGAAGAGGTTAAAAACAATGATTATCTCATCCTATGTCATTTGTAGAGTCACTGTGTAAAGGTAACAGTGATTACAACCTATCTGAGCATAATTTACACTTAGTTGCTGGTTTATTATGTACACCCATTTGAACTAATCCAGTCTAATAAATCAGGCCTGTAATCATAGCTTCGTGATGGTTATATTTTTCATTTTTTGTTAAAACTGTTCAAAAAATGTGTTGACTCATATGTATGGTCACTTGAAATTTTGTGCTACTGTTAAATTTTATGTATGTATGTATATATTTAGACATTTTCAATAGTTATCATACATTTATCAATATAAAATAGGCCTATTGGAAATACGTCTTTGCACAATACAGTTCAATAGCACCAAGATTACTGCTTCCAAAATGAGATAAAGCCAGTCATGTTGGTTTCAGCTAAGATTGAGCATTATATCTGCCATGATATCTAATGCTGAGTTGTGCTGTGTCTTAAGTTAGTTGTACCTAATAAGATAGCATGTGAATGGAAATATGAAGCCATGGTATACATGAGTGAATTGCTCAGAGTTTGTAGTTACTTTGGAAAGTCAAATTCCTCGTGTGTCCGACACACCTCGCCAATAAAACTGATTCTGATTCTGAAGTAGTTTCTTAATCCATGATCTTGCTGATACAGTGTTGTTAGTACTTATCATCTAGTATTCCAGTTTTAATTGTGTCCCCCGCAGATGTTTTTAATGTATGACCATAATTTTCCATTGCACTTCATTTCAGCACCATGAATCACAATGAGCTTACTGTTCTGCCATTTCTTGGATATGTTTCCTCAAACATCACCTCACTGTCGCTGTAAGTACAAGATAAAACTTGTCAAAATACTACTACTACTACTTGTCAAATAAACCAAGCATTTCTTTATATGAAACTTTAACTCCTTTTATATTAAAGACTGTTCTTTATACTCTTATCAGTTCGTTTCTTTACATTCAGATTTTACAACATTGACCACTTATCACTGTGTTTGATAGCATTTTATGCCTTATGTACAAATTAACTGATACCAAAACATTGCTAAGGTACCATTTATGTTTTGTTACCAAGCACGATGCACAGTCACAGACCATCTGAGTCTTTCCTTGTGTTAGTGTGATTTCAGTATACTGTAGACTTATCTTGTCATATGATATCAGTGTCATTATGACTGTGAAGAGTAATACTTACTAATACCTGATTATATTTTTTATGATTCAGAGTCCACAATCGGATCTCAGAGCTGTCAGTGCATCAGCTGCAGCCATATGTTTCTCTGGAGACATTGGACCTGACATCCAACTCCATCTCTGAGCTCAAAGTTGGATCCTTCCCCTCCATGCAACTGAAATATCTGTAAGCAAGCACTGGTTATTTAATGGTCTTTGTTTAACCTTTTTAATTAGAGAGCACAAGAACAAATGATCTACAAGAATACTCTGAGAATACAGGTTGATTGTAATGTAAAATTAAACCACAGGGCACTAAGAGAGCATATACATCTACAAAGACTGCTCAGCACTAAACACATTTTATTTTAATAATAGAAAATACACTGTTAAAGCAGTAAATCAGTTTACAGTTATAGAGGAGTCAATGGTATGAGGGAACAGACTGTAAAATATAATAGTAAGATAACAAGATGGAGGATCAAGTATGACCTAGCACATCTTAAAGCAAAATAGTGATTTACAATGCACGGCATTCATTCTAGTTTACTTCTAATGAAGTCAGAGCACCTTGTTTTGATCAATTTTCTGTTAGTAAAAAAAAAAAAAAAAAAAACATATTATTGTAGACAAACTGGTTTTGTGGTTCATCCTCTTGTGAACATATCCCGATTTTGGCTTGAATGTGTCTTCTCTTGTTTGTTTTTTTTCATAGGAATTTGAGTAATAACAAGATCAGTATCCTTGAGCCTGGCTGCTTTGAAAACATCTCCAGCACCCTGCTGGTGCTGAAGCTGAACAGGAACAGATTAGCTGAGCTCTCATCCAAAGTCTTCATACTTCCACAGCTTCAGTTCCTGTAAGTATTGTGTGGTGTTTTTGGAGCAAAACTAAAATTAGTCAGCCAAGAAATTAGTTGTTTATAGTTGGCACACATGACTGTGGATTTCACTTCTTTTGTTACAGCTCTTTTTTTGGTTGAAAAATTGTGTTTACTTTCATTGTAGTGAAATGAAGCGTAACAAGATCAAGATAGTGAACAGCCTGACATTCAAAGGCATGGACTCACTGAAGTCACTGAAGATGCAGCGGAACGGCATCACTAAACTCTTGGATGGAGCCTTTTTTGGACTTAACAACATGGAAGAACTGTGAGTACAGTGTTATAAACTTTTCTGTAAAGTGACATTCAACAGCATGTCCATCAGCAATTTTGGAATTCACACCTGTCAAGAAACTTTGTAGACTGCTCATATTGGGCTCTAGTAGACTGGTAATAAAATTAAATCAATTTATGCAATGAAACCGTTTTATGTTAATACCATTTTGTTTCGCCCACCTGTGTCTTAGAGAGCTGGAGCACAACAACCTAACTGAGGTCAACAAAGGTTGGCTGTATGGCCTGCACATGCTGCGTAACTTGCGGGTCAGCCAGAATGCTGTTGGCATCATCCGACCAGACGCCTGGGAGTTTTGCCAAAAGCTTGAGGAACTGTAAGTGTCTTTGCTTCACGCAGCAGAGTTCCCACCTTGTTTCTTTAGCCCCAGACACTGAAATTCATTGTGGACCCTAAGGAGTTGCTGTTGTGGTGCTGCAGTACTGCGAGGTGTGTGGAGCTGATTCAGTGTTGTCTTGCCTCTGGTGAATGTACTGTAGGAGTTTCATTCTTGAATTTGGAGTTACGGTAACATACAAGACTTGTGTTCAAGGAGGGTATATTGTGAAATAATCTATCATATTTGTGGTTGTTCTGTACAGGGACTTGTCCTTCAATCATCTGACCAGACTTGAGGAGACAGCTTTCCTTGGGTTGGGTTTCCTGGAGACCCTGAATTTGGGAGAGAACTCCATTAGCCATTTGGGAGAGGGGGTGTTCAGTGGCCTAGCAAGTCTGCGCACCCTGTAAGTGCTGCACTTTACAGTGCATTCACACATACGAACACAAATAGCTGACTGTATCGGGCATTTGTTGATTCTATAGTTCTGTGGGTGTGTTGTGTTGAGCATGTAATTTACATACAGAGCTCTGATGGGACAGTCTTCTGTTGTATCTGCCGTACTATGTGCTGCAGTTTGTTCCTACAGTTCTGCAATTTTTTTTTTATTTTTTAAATGTCTCAGTGACTCGTTAAAATCACATAGAGAACTGTGAAGCTAGAGACTGGGGGGACAAGTTTTCCCTCCATTTTGTTTAAAATTCCTTCACATAGTGGAGTCAGTGTTTCCCACACATACACTTTACTTGGGCAGGCTGTACAGGTATAACTGCCTAAGTATTTTTGGTCATCTATATATATATATATATATATAAAACCAGAACAGATTAACAATTAACGAGAGTAGAAGGACAGCAGCCAACATGCTGCTGTGGGAGAGCCAATCAACAAGCACAAAGGCACCATATTAGTACTGTATTTAATTAAAAAAAAATTAAAGTATGTGTTTGTCCCCACGCCAGCAGCTTTCGCTCTAGGAAAAATCTGATTCTGTGGGAAACGGTGGGAGTGGAGTAAAAAAACAACTCTGTGGTTTATTTTTCGAATAACGTTGATAGTGGCTCTCATGTGACTGTCGTTCGCACTGTGGAGCAGAGATATTTAGTGCAATATCAAGATGCACGTAGAAGGAAAATTTGTCTAGCAGCATGAAACAACAACAAGACGTATACTATGAAATTCAATAAAATGTGATTAATAGATCATGATTAAAACCTACAGGTAATAGATCTGGAAGTGTTTTAAAAAGTTAGAAGATCCCACTATAGGAACTCCAATCATATGACAGGATTTTTTTTTTTTTTGTTTGTTTTCCAGGTAATCAAATTTTTCATACTGAGCTTTTGTTTATGTAGGCTCCAGGCTTAAAGTTACCTTGAAGAGGTTTAACTTGGTGACATGCTCTAACATCTCGCACTGTGCCACTGTGCATAAAGTTGAGTATTCCTCAGCTTTCCCCTGTAGTGTAGCCGGGTGCTTTTTGAATCTGTCGGGCTCAGCTGGGGGCACAGGGCTGCAAAGCCAGGTCTCATTCATAATGAGTGGCAGCTGTTGCTGGCCTAGTCTTTTGAATCGATGTGTGAATGCAATGCTAATGAAATCTATCTGAGATTTGTTGCTCATTTACTATAACTAGTGTGCTGAAGCTTACTGTGCAAAATTATAACCAAGTCCTGACTTGTTTTTGGCTCTGCGCATTCTCATGACGGTTCCTGGCGACAGCAGGTGTGTGTTTATGTCGCTCACTTTTATGTATAGTTCTAGTCCTGTTTTCAGTACATTTCTTGAGTGTTTTTAAGTAGTTTAGAGAAACAACATTAGACCTTGCCAATATTTGAAGTATTCTCTGCTGTTATCTTAGCCACATTCAGATTATTTGTCGTGTAGTTTCAAAGAATTCTCTCTCTCATCTGTTACAGTAATGTCCTGTAGTTATTCCTCTTATCAGTGCCACAGAATACTTAATTTCCAGTTGCAAAAGTTGTGTGTGCTTCTGGGATGTTAGATTACAGTTTGAACCACATTAACACAACCTCGAAATATTTGAAAATCCAAAATATCAGCCTGATTAAGTTGGCATGTCCTCTTCATCGTACGTTTATCTTCAAGTTACAAAGTGTTGAACGAAGAGGGAATTGTGAACTCATTTGCCGCTTGGAGTTCTGCTTAAACCACTGAGCTGCAGCAAGAAAAGGGGTCATATTTGCAAGATTAATTGTCCTGGGAGCTTTCATGGGAGAGGGGATTTGGAAAGTGCCAAGGTCCTTTCAGAGGTCGCCAGACATGAGGAAAGAGAAACAAGGGAGCCCATGACCCATCCTTTCCTTTCCCGTTTCCAGTGGATGCATGAACTGTCCCATTGGTAAACAATTAATTTCCCTTCATCAGAACAACAGGGGCAGTGAATTGTGACACACTGTTGAAGTATGGTGTCTCAGCTTGTTAGTCTCTTAACTGAGCGTCACTTCCACTGAAAACCATAGTGGAGCTAAAGTCCCATCTCTGTGCACTTTGCAGAAACGAGCTTTAGAGATTTCATTTTCATTGTATGTAGTGTTTAATTTGTGTGGCTCTTTGTTTTCCAGAGACATCCGCAATAATGAAATCTCCTGGGCCATTGAGGACTCGGTTGGTGTATTTGATGGAATGAAGAAGCTGAACACACTGTGAGGACAATCTGATTTATAAATATGAATATTTATAGATATGATTTTTTTATTTAAATACACATGGTTGTAAAATATACATTTAGAAAAATATAGTTGGCGCAATTTAAAATTAAATTCTGTGTCAGTGGACTAGATTGTAGTTTGTTCAAACTTGCATTGAACGATTTTTTTTTAGATGTCCTACTTTATCCTGAAAGTTGCTGAGTCACTAGATTCATTGTGTAAGACAGTGGTTTCCCAGGAGCAACCATGAAATGTACTTCATTTTCCAGAATCCTACAACGGAACAAAATCAGATCCATCACTAAGAAAGCATTTGAAGGCTTGGAAGAGCTGGAACACCTGTGAGTAAAACCATGGCTCAGTCCTTTTTTTCCACATAGCTACAGTCAGTACAGAAAGTTTAGAGACCTTTCCAAGTTTTCCATAGTTTGTTATGTTTCAGATTCATCTTAAAATGGATTCAGTTCATTTTTATCTCATCAGTCTACACATAATATTCCACAATGATAAAGTGAAAGGTTTTTGGAGTGTTTTGAACCTTTATGTAAAAAAAGACTGAAATATCCCATTTACGTCAGTATTCAGACCCTTCAATTAATACGTGATTAAAGCAGCTTTCACAGCAATGACAGCCTTGAGAATGAAGCTGCAGGCTTGCCCCAGTTTTCTTTTGGAATTTTCTGCCATTCTTCTTGGTAGAATCGTTCAAGGTAAGAAGATGCCGTGGTCCATTCATAGTGACCCTTGGGTTCATGGTTACCTGTCTGACCAAGGGCCTTCATCCCCAGTTACTGTATGGCTGGGTGGTGAAGAATGGTGGTGGTTCCAGATCTGTTCCATTTGACAATAATGGAGGCTAATGTGCTCTTGGGCACATTCAGGGCTGCAGAAATTTTCTTGTATCCTTCTCCAGATCTGTGTCTTGACTCAGTCCTGTCTCACAGGTCTGTGGACAGTTCTCCTGACCTCATGGCTTTGTTTTCATTCTGACATACACCATCAACTATGAGACCTTATATAGACAGGTGTGTGCCTTTCATAATTATATCCACTGCATTAAATCAGACACAGGAGGACTCCAATCATATATAGATACTGATACGATGCACCAGAGTTCAATCGCAAGTGTCATAAAAAAGGGTCTGAAATGTAAAATGTTTGTAAGTGGGATATTTCAGCCTTTTATTTTTAATACATTTACAGAACATTCCAAAAACCTGTTTTCACTTTATCAGCGTGTAATATTGTGTGGAGATTGATGAGGATAAAATTCAACTGAATTCATTTTACGATGAGTTTGAAAACTTGAAAGGGTCTGAATACTTGTGTCTCACTAGGATTTCTTTATTGTTGAATGATTAAAGATAGCAGGAAGCTTTTATTACCACTGTTGTGTTGTTGCCTTGTGCTTGTGAAACGGGATGCCATTTTGGTCAAATCACATTGTAGGTGTGTTTAATTCATATTTCTGTCCCCTCTGCAGGGACCTCAGTAAGAATGGCATCATGTCAATACACCCCGAGGCGTTGTCCCATATGAAGCTGAAAGTGTTGTGAGTAGACACAAAATGAATCTTAAAGCACTCGTAAGCACATTTGGAGGACAGCTTTTCCCTGCCTTAATATTGTTTCTTCAACTGAACCTATTGCCGCCATTAAAAACGTATTATAGTGTAATGATTACTTAGCTGTGCAATTCAGTGTCATGTTTACTGTTTTAAATTGGCATTATATTGTTCTGTGAAGAAGATCTTAACCACTGAAATGTGACAGACTTGTTGGTCTACTGTAGCTTTAGTAATGAGCAAATAACTTTACCTTTTGAGCTTTTAACCCCCTTCTTTTGGTGGTGACATTTAAAACTATGCAAACTTGCTTAGTGACTACAGTGTTGTCTTACTAAAGTTGTACATTTTCTGGCTCAGCTCAGATCCTTATTCAAGTTGTAGTGGCATCCGCTTAGTGAGGACAAGCGCCTCTCCAGACAAATGTTAAATCTCTAATCTTTCTAAGGTTCTGATAAGCCCATTTTAGGATTGGCTACAAAGTGCACCAGAGAAAATGTCATCGCAGTAGTCATATCCTCTTATTAATTACACTGCGTCTGTAATAGAATATAGAATTATTTGCTTGGTGAGTGGAAAAAGTGGCTGATTAGAGAAATATAATGACAACACTCTTGTAAATGAGGTTTATTTTTGGAGAAAGTGTATTAAAAGCAGATTTCTGTGTGTGGTTTATATAGTAATGAATCTAGATTCCTGTCATGATGTAGGTCTTTTAAACTTTGTGCTAACATGTATTAGAGATGCCATGGTCCAGTTTACTCTGGTTACTGTTTGACATCTCCTGTATTTGAACATTATAACTTGGATTTAATATCATTTAATGACCGTGGTTTTGTATGGCTCTGTATCATTGGTCATGTTTGTGCTTTTGGATGTTTGTGGGATTGTAATTTTTAAGTATCTAAACTGCTACAAAAATTAGGTTAGGTTTACTAATAATGTTTATTTTAGGGGTTCAGAGGGAAAAGGGTATTTTTCAGCAAGAAATATGACAGTTTCTTAAAGACCCACCAGAGCACTGCTTTCATAAAAAACACTGCCTCTTTATTGCATGCTCAGTGTCGCTCATTTGTTACTGTTGCTCATCGCATCCTTTTTAGCTCTGCAGTAGAGTGATGAATCCAACTAATGGCTGTCCCGCTTCCTTTGTGATCTTCCTGTTGTCAGTGTCCTAAACACGAGCAGCTTGCTGTGTGACTGCCACATGCAGTGGTTAGGGCCTTGGCTGACTGACAACCAGTTCCAGCCGACTGTCTCTGCTGTCTGTGCTCATCCTACCAGTCTACTCGGTCGCAACGTCCTGTCCGTCAGTCCGGAAGAGTTTGTTTGTGGTCAGTCCCTTTTATTTATTGATTCCAGTCTGATGTTGATGTTGGTACACTTTAGTCCGCACAGAACTGAGAAAATATTTGTGATGTAAGCCAATAACAGCACATAATTTCACTGTGGAAGCTTCGTTCACGGGTTTTACAAAAATTCCATTTTAACCACCATGTTGTGCTTTATGTATCAGCGCGTAGTTCCTGTACTGAACACCAGCTAATATCTTACATTTCATTTAAGAGGCTTGCTGTAAAAGTATTGATGGTCAGACTTTAAAAAAACGCCATCCATGTCCCTGTACAGATGATTTCCCCAAGCCTCAGATCACAACTCACCCAGAGACGTCTGTGGTGCTGCGGGGGAACAATGTGACTCTCAGCTGTGTTGCCTCCAGCAGCAGTGATTCGCCAATGACCACAGCTTGGCGGAAGGATGGGGAGGTGTTGTATGATGCAGAGGTGCAAAACTATGCCCAGTACCAGGAGGGAGAGCTGATCTACACCACTGTGCTTCACCTCCTTCACGTCAACTTCACTGACGAGGGGTGGTACCAGTGCGTGGTCTCCAATCACTTTGGCTCCAACTACTCCCATAGGGCCAAGCTTACTGTCAACGGTGAGGGTCTTTCCCCTTTTTCAAAGAATGTGATTAATGATTGTTACTGGAGCTCATTTGTTTTCTCATGCTCTGCAGTTTTCTACATTATTTAAGCTTTATGGTGCTGTTCTTTCCAATGTAGCATCCAGACACACAGTTTTAAGACAGAGGAACCCTAAGATCTAGTTGCTACTGCTGTTTGATTCCAGGCTTTTGTCTCTACCTCTCTGGCTCACCTTTGACTTTCTGTTCTTTATTTTTATCAGAGCTGCCATCCTTTCTTAAGACTCCCATGGATCTCACAATCCGGACTGGGACTATGGCCAGGCTGGAGTGTGCCGCTGAAGGCCATCCGTCGCCTCAGATTGCTTGGCAGAAAGATGGAGGCACTGACTTCCCTGCTGCCCGAGAACGCAGGATGCATGTGATGCCAGATGATGACATCTTCTTTATTGCTAATGTGAAGACCGAAGACATGGGAGTGTACAGCTGCACAGCTCAAAATGCAGCTGGCAGCCTTTCGGCAAACGCTACTCTCACCGTTCTGGGTGAGTCATCTACATGATCAGGAGAGTGTATTACTGATGATTTACTGCTCGTTGTGTCTGAGTTACTCTGCTCAAATTGGTTGCCCATTTATATCTGTCACTCATTTTGTTTCCTCATCAGAAATGTTAACTAATGACTACATAAATGTAAACCGTCTGTGACACAACTGTTTGATCACATTTCCTAATGACTATGCATCTGAGATTTTAATTTAGCTATGAATTTGTATATAATAAATAGCCCTTTTCAGACATGGTAGCTGTGAATTTACAGGCTACATGTAGCTGTGTAGCAGTTGCTCTTTTGTTCAGACTTGGAGCTGCTCTGACCTAGCAGGATACAGCCACAGTGTTCATGTGATATCCACCAAGGCAGACACCAAGTAACACTGTTTACGATTTATCTTGTAATTTCTTTCTTTTCACAGATGATGAGCTGTGTTTGATTTCAATGTCAGACCAGTTTCCATCCATTCAGAATTACATCACACTGCTAAACTGTACAAACTACAAGCTAGTGATCTTCAGCTCTTTTTATGTTTTTGCCCAAAATTTACTGCCTGCCCTACATCCACTCCATTGAGAGACAGGGTGAATGAACGGAGGGAGCAGCCTTGGCCAGAACAAACAGTAAATCAGAGGAAAGGTTCTGTGCAAGTACAGTATGTCTGTCGTGATCAAATTTCCATTAAGGACACCTTAAACAGACATGTAGCTAGCTATTTGACTAGGTCTGACCAGGTAAAATTGCCAGTAACGCTTTCTCGACTACACAACTCAGGGATTTGTTCAGACATGATGCCTAGATATGAAATAGCAGGCACATTTCTAGCATGTCTGAAAAGGTTTAATGACTCAGCCAAGTGCAAAGTTTGTGATCAAGGCTTACATAATGGTACAAAAAAAAGATTTTTTATTTTTTTATTTTATTTTATTCTACAATTAACAAACTTGACTTCACACACATTCATCTAAACACTTTGGCTCAAATGTCACTGTTGTTAATTCCAAAGCCATGAACCCCCTTCTCTTCCAGAAACTCCATCCTTCATGCGGCCACTGGAGGACAGAACAGTGGCCCGTGGTGAAACTGCTGTGCTTCAGTGTATAGCCAGAGGCAGCCCGGCGCCTCGTCTCAACTGGACCAAAGATGATGGGCCGTTGGTTCTCACAGAGCGCCACTTCTTTGCTGCTGCCAACCAGCTTCTTATTATAGTAGATGCTGGTCCTGCTGATGCTGGGAAATATACTTGCATCATGTCTAACACTCTGGGCACAGAGCGTGGCCACATCTACCTGAGTGTGGCACCATCACCAAACTGTGATACTGGTGCGGGCTATGACCAGGACGGCTGGACCACAGTGGGCATAGTGGTTATTGTGGTGGTGTGCTGTGTGGTGGGAACCTCCCTGGTCTGGGTCATTGTCATCTATCACATGCGCAGGAAGAGTGAGGACTACAGTATCACCAACACAGGTGAGCAGTTCAGATCTGTGATATAAAATGTGTCTTATGTGATCATGTTTGTTTGGAAACTACGAAATGCATCTATGGGGACAACGTTTGTCAGGATAAGACTCAATACTGTGTGACAAACTATGTCTCCATCTGTTCCAGATGAGATGAATTTGCCAGCAGACATCCCCAGCTATCTGTCCTCTCAGGGTACCTTGTCAGAGCCTCAGGAAGGATACAGTAACTCAGAGGCAGGCAGCCACCAGCAGCTCATGCCTTCTCTCTCTCATGGATATGTCCATAAGGGCACAGATGGTGAGTAATTTTCCTTTTAGATTTGGAGAAGTCCACCATTTCTGAACTGTATATATGAGGTGATTTCTGCTATTTCCACTGCAAACTCTTTGCATAGCTGAAAAAAACACTGGTGTCTCCTAAAGCTGGAACCAAATAAAGCTTCCGCGATTATCCAACATAATCAATTATATCGACCTTGAAAAGGCGTTGACATCAATATTTCTAACCACCACATCTTTTTCTATAACACTTCAATCATTCATTAAAACTTCACTACGTAACCACCTGTAAAATCCACAGAAGAAGAATATCTCAGTGTAATTGCTGCATGCTTGAGTCAGTTGTTTTTGGCTCCAGTCACTGCTCAGCTCCAGTCAGCGCTATAGTTTTAGAAATGGCCACAGCTGAGTTGCAGAGTCTGACTCATTTGCAAAAGAGGTTCAGTGTAAAAGTTTCCAAAGTGTGTGTCAAAAAATCAAAAGGTGGTCTGTACACCTGGCAAAATTCAGTTTACATATCACAGCAGAACAAGTGCTACGCATGAACACCTGAAGAGAAAACACACAGGTGCTATTCTGGATGATTGTCTGTTCATGTTTATTTGTATTTATTTACATTTATTTATTATAAATCACTATCAGAGGGAGAGCTTTTTAATAATAAAGTCATCTTCCTGAGTGTTTGAGAAAATGTTTAGGCTTATTCTACGTTAATTGACATTCCCAGCGTGTGTTCTTTGTTCATTTATAGAGTACTGTATTTATAGAGCTTTCTTTTAAGTCTGTGGTTCTTGCGTGTTGCGTTTGTTGGGACGTACATTTTTGGAGGAAAATAATCGTTTAGATGAATCGACAAATCAGTAAAATAAAGAAAACAACTGAAAATAGTTCCTTTAATATTCATATAAAGATTTATATTGTATTGTCAACTTTCAGTATATTAGACATAGGACATTCTAATATTACAATAAATTAAAGCAAATCAGTTTTTAGTTGGCAGTGTAGTGACCTTTGATTAGACAAAGTTTTCTTCTGGTAGAAACTGATTTAATGCTTTTGGTTCTGTCAATACTTTGGTGAAAAGAAAACAAAGCTTGTTATGTTGACAAAACAGAGATTACAAGATCATTGCATGATCTCAAGATGTCAATCGCTGAGGTACATTACTGCTTGTCCTGCCTTTCATACAAATCACCTCTGACATGACAGCTTCTGGGATGTGATTTCCTGAAGCCGAAGGTCTTGGACAGTCACGTACCTGTTGGGTTCTTGTTTCTGCTTTGGTGTTTTGGACCAGACTCTTACTCCTTTACTAATAAGACTCATTGACTAACTGTTTGTATCCCAGGTGTGTGTTATGGAGACACGAGCAGCGAGGTGGAAGTGGAGGGGAATGGCATGCTGCACTGCAGAGTTGGCTCTTTGTTCACTGGCCGTAGCAGCTTCCACGCTGGAGAGCCCCTTGACGGACTAGCTGGAGTCACTACAGGTTAGTGTCATCTACACACAAGCAGTCATGAGTTTTTATTTATTTTCAAAGGCTTAGACCCGTTTATAGATAACTAGTGTTGATGTTTTGCCATGATTATCTAATAAAAAAATGTAGTTGTAGACACATTAAGGTGTATTTGAAGTCAGTTTTGTAATAATTGATCACTACTGTAAATAATCAGGTCAGGATGACAGTATTACGATTGCAGCAGTACCAGTACATATACACTGAACTAGACACCAGATAAAATATTCAATACATCTGATGATAAACTGTTTATAGCACCTGTTGTACAGGAAAGGCAGTGTAAAGTGCTTTACAAGGTTATAAAATTAGCATACATCAGGTAAAATAATAGTGTGTGACTGACTACATGATTAAACTTTAAAAAATGGTCTAGAGGTACATTTCTACCCATTTCATTCACAGACAATAGCAATCAGAGAGTGCACGTACCTCTGCCAAGGAACAACATTCGGTCCTTTGTGGAAAAATGAGATGCAGAACAACACAAAATGTGTCCTAAAGTCCTTGATCCAGATCGGATTTTAGGGTATGATAAGCAGTTGTAATGTGCACCTTAGCTGAACATTTCAGGGTTCTGTGGTCATTACAGGCCAAGTTATGGCAGAAAATATGTGTTAAATGGGGTTTTCAGTGTTGAATTGAAATGGCCAGAAGATCCAGAGTCTGGATCAGATCCAGATGAAATTTGGTCTGGTGACGGACGTAGCCGCCCTACAAATGTGTCTAAATTTCAGACAAAAAAATGATTTTAACTTTTGACAGATAAATGATTTTTTTATTTTACCCCATGTCAAAGATGGGCATTTTTTGTGATTTTGTTTTAAATTTTTTTTTTTTTTGTGACCTTGACCTTTGACCTTTTTCAGCCAAAATCTAATCACCTCTAGGGTTTGTCCCCACCAGCATCTGTACCAAGTATGCTTATGCTCCATCTACCTGTTAGTTTGTAATCCTGCTGATCAACACACACACACACACACACACACACGGAGCCAAAAACATAACCCTGTTGGCAGAAATAATAATAAATATTTAATGAATCGGTGTGTTGTAGAGAATTGAGTGAGTTGAAAATAATCATTAGTAATCACTTGATTGCTTTAAGTTTTCTTGAGGCCTTTTCATAGCCACTGTCAGCAAACAACACACACTTTAAATGGAGCCATGGTCTGGGAAAACAAAAAACAATTGTGGGAAGCAACACATCAAGATGTTTGTCTTCTCTCGCCAGCTGGTGCAGGTCCGCTGGTCATCTGCTCGGACTGCTACGACAATGCCAACATCTACTCTCGCACACGGGAGTACTGCCGTTATGCCTATCTTGGGGAGGACGACCTGCTGGACAAAACTCTGTCAGGCCTGAAGGAGAGCTTTAGTGAGCATGCCCAGCACAAGGACACGGCGCTGGAGAGCCTCGTTAGCAACCACGACTCCTCTGTCTTTCTCACCTCACGTGACAAAAGGTTGAGCAGCCATGGTCTCCCAGAGCGATACGTTAACGGTGAGACTCCAGTGTTACCTTTTACAGCAAGATGGTGACACCATCTTAGTCTAGGTGCAAACAATCATGTTCTACCTGCTGAGGTGTTTTTGGGTAACATGCAGAAATTTCACCATCTACTGAAAAAGGCAAAAAGTAACATCCAGGGTTCTGTAAACACCTTCCTTTGCCTTTATGCACAGTATAAACACAGAGGTCACAGATTCACTGAAGCCAGTGCTTTACAGTGAACTGGTAAACCCTTGACACTATTTATTGGCAATACAAGCTGTTTAGATGCATTGTAATGAGGGTTCAGGTGATCAGAGAGATGAGAGAAGGACAGACAAATGCCAAGAAGTCAGCACGGCCAACTGTGTGTAAACAAAATAAAAAGTAGCTACTTAAATGTGGTTTATCTTGACTCAAATAGCATAGGACTGCAATTAGTGACTGTTGTCACTGCAGAATAGCTATGGGTTTTTTTAAAATGCCTTTTTGAAGAAAAAAAAAAACAATCAAGTTCTAAGTGGTACTTTAAATAGCTGCTTTTGTCCAACCAACACTCTATAATCTAAAGGTAAAGAGATATAAAACAGTGAAAGGCAGCGAATTCTCACATTACCTAAACAATACATAAGTGATTAAAACTGTCAATTGATAAATCGGCTAGACATTCTGCAGTAAGCAGTCGTCTGTTAGTGGAGGATAAAACGTTGCCCTCTAAGTGTTGTGTCTCTTGCCATCTTTGCAGACTCGCTTAGCAGATCGTTCTGGGGAGAAGAGGAAGATCTGTACTCGAATCCCCCACAAGGAGTGTCCCAGCACCCAGTGACTGTACACAGAACACCACCTCTGACCTCAAATGCTGATGGGTCAGAGGAGCTGAGTGAATCAGAGGCCGACTGTTTCCCCAGCCAGGGCGCACAGGACCACAGAAGTGCCTCCACTAGGACTAACCTTCAGGAGCATCCTGCCTTCACATAATACTCTGCCCAATCTGCCTCTGGCTCCTCGTTGCTACACCCCTCTCCCCTTGACTCACTACCTCCATTCTGCCAAAGATGCTCTTTTGTATGTTTACACTTACACTCTAGAGGAAGTGTTAACATTCTCCACTGTGGAAAGACTGCTGTGTCAGGCGGGAAAAATAATCCAGTGATTAACGTGACCTGCTACTTGACACCTCCACCGCTGCAGTACCCCCCCTCCTCTACATCCTTTACTCTTCTTTGTTCTCTTTCAAGAGAAATCTATGAATGTATGCTTCAGAGACCCGCATCAGATGCGGCCATGAGAGCAAATGTACAACATGGTCAAGTCTTGAAAAGCTTTCTCCTCCGTCCCTGCTGCTGTGGGGCTGAAACTGTGTAACCGTGCACTACACACTAACATTTGAGTCTTGTTTTTTTTTTTTTTTGACATAGCCACCTGTTGGAGCAGCCTACATGACTTTGATAGAAATTACAAACCACCTTTTCCCATGTGGGAAAATGGGTTTAGATGGGGGACAAGTGTAGTTCCCTGACCAGCAGATTGGTGCGGTTCATGTAAGAAAACATCGAAAGTGTCCGTCCCACATTTCCACAGCTCTTCTGACTGACTCTAAACTGTGTAAACTGGTGTTGTGTTATGCAAATCCCAGAGACAGCGACACCAATCTGTGGTGTATACTATGAATATATAGGAATATATCTTATATCATGATGATAGTATCATGTTTATCTGATCTTGTTTTTGTCGTGTGTCACACGCAGTCATCAATTCATTCACTTTGTGTATTCAGAATCGAAGCAGTTTGGAGGAGAGTTCAGTTCTTTTGCACATGTGACAATCATAGATTTGCTTGCCATTTTCTAATGGCTGTCTATTTTGATGGCCTTTTTAACAAGCATTCTCAGTAACCTCAGTTAGGTAACATCAGAGCATATGAGCGGAGTGGAGCCGTTTGCCCGCGCCGCTCCCCAACTCGAAGCTACACCAGGCCGCTCCACTCATCGCTCCACGCTCAACTCGCACCTACCTTACTCACTCCAAAAAAGGGAAAGAAATCTTCACGTTTTTCACTTTTAGTTTAAACCGTAGCCTTACATCCCAAAAAAGCTGCAGAACAATGATTATTTTTTGCCAAATAGGAATGATTTATTTCAAAATTACAGTCAGGCCTATTCAACAAGGAATTTAACACTAAACATCGTGTAAAATTCAGCAAATCAATGGGCCTAATTAAATGAAGATATACAGTACATCTATATGACCTTTCAGTTTCCTTTATAAAGTACTTTACGACCTGGCAACGGCCAGTTTTTGACTGAAAAGTGTTCGATGGCTGAGCAAGATGTATTCATTCTGGGTCAGGCTTCAGGCTCGTGGTGCGAGCGGTAATGCAACGAAATTGGAGCAGGACATAGGGTGACACGCCCTCCTTTTTAAAAAGCCGCTCTCTGCTCCCCGCTCACTTGAACTATGCTCCGCTCACATGCTCTGGGTGACATTGTAGTTCATATACACGGTATGCACTGATATGTTTTCCTTATGTCTTACAGGCACTTAATTTAACGGTGTAAACTTTATTATGCAGCGTGCATGCTGTTTTACATTGTGAGGATTTGTCATCGCGTTTTTTTTTTCCCTCAAAGGTTTCTCAAAGTTCACGATCCTTGTGTAATATTGATTAAACCTAGGTTTTCACTTGGACTGTGAAAAATGAGAATGTATTGTATTATTTTATATATGTATGTGTGTGTACATAAAGCTAGTTATCTATTAGATTCCACATCCTACTAGTCAGTTTGCAGAATGGTTTGACACTCAACATTTAAGCTTATTCATTTAAAGCCCTTGTAGCCTCAGCCTTATCTGGACATTTTGACAGATTGGGTCACTTGACAACATGGAAGACGTTTCATGTAAAAGAATATTTCATCAGCTTTGATCTAATGATGTTTTGGTGCTTTATACATTTATCGAACTACAGTTTCTAAGTTATTAGGTACGCCTGGCTAACACAAATGCCATCTAATACAGCAGTCCTGTGATCGATCCTTAATCCTACTTTCATGACGTTTGCAGTGTTCGGTTCAGTTGAAACCTGCCTAGAGAACTGTACCACAGTGTGCGCTGTTTTAAATAACATGTCTCTGTATAATGCAACGTCTCAAAAACCATTATAAAGCTGAATCATCACCTCTCTAACGGTTTCAATGAGTATTACAACCTTCATGAAAGTAGTATTTAATGCCGGGCTGATGAATTAGCACTTGTTTTAGCCAGGTGGACCTAATAACCTGCCAACTCAGTGTCTATCATAGTCCTTCGTCTTGGATGTGCTGTCTGTCAACAAATTGCCTCTAATATTCTCTTTTAAATCTGACCAAGATAGGATTTGTCATGTTGCTTTCTTCCCACTTTAGTAGTGGTATACTGAGCGATGACTGACGATGATTCAGACAATAACATTTCATAGTGCTGATCTGCAGTGTAGCAGGGTGATGGTGTAGCTTGTTGCTATATTTTCCATGTAATGTGACTAAGTGTAACATGGCCAAGCAAGTTGTTAGGTTGGATCAATAATGACTTAAAATTAACACATTTTACTGTATGTGTTGAGCAACAAATGGCATGTCTGTGCCTCCATCTCCTCTGTGGTATGTGCATGTCGGTATCACACTCTCCTTATGGTTCTAACTTGTTTTCATATTTTGTCAATCATGTTTGCCCGTTAGCTACCCAGGTGGCACATTCCAAGCCTTTTTAAGCTGTAAATATGATTAAGTGGTTTTTTTTTTTTTCTTCTCTAAGACAAGTCTAAAACCAGCTTGTCTTTCCTGAGTTCCTCTGTATTCAGACACTCCTTTGCCGTTTCTTGCTGTTTTCTGACTGTTGACCAAAGTCATTCGTATGCCCCTCTTGAGTGATAGAGAAATTAAAATGAAAACTCGCGGCGATAACTTGTTCTAATGGAGGTACACGTCCGGGAAGCGTACATCGATCCATTGTTCAGTATTTTCCGCCAACACAGCATAATATAATGTGCATTTTGTATTGTTTTATTCTCTGAACATCCTTTATTGACTTTATACCAAAGCTTGAGATCCAATGCTGCTTTTTTGTATTGACGTTTGGCATTTTGTTTTGAATAGTATTTTTGACCTTGTTTACCTGTACATTCTGTAAAGCATGTCTAAAAAGCATTTTTACGTAGCCATTACTCAAACATTAAACATGGATTCTGACGATGACGTCTGAACCTTAAATGTCTGTCTCACCACTGCTCTTTGGTAGAAACAGGATTATTTTCATGATTGATTATTAAACACTTAGTTTTTTTGACTGAAATTTCAGGGGGAAAAAAACCATAATACAATGGACCAAAGGTCAAGGTGACATTAAGATTGTTTGGTTTGTCCAACCAGTCCAAAACCCTAAGATATTAAATTTGCAATGATATATAACGGTAAGAAAATTTTCATATTTGTTAAACTAGAATAAGCAATCAAGTTATTGTGGTTTGCCTTTACTGACAGTGGGCGGGCTACAAGAAAAGCTGAGAGGATGTTTTTGCCAGATACGATCTAGGAAACATGCAATGCTACTGTACATGCAGCGGTCTTAACCACAACATGATTACTCAGCACAATATGGAATGATTTAAAAGGCCAAACCATCTGTAATTTGGATTTAGTCATGTCAAGCTAACACAAAGCCAGTTAATATCAGCCTTAAAAACCGTTAATCTATCATCAGTCTTGACATCAAGCAAAGAAAGCAGACGTTTTAAGTCTTTCCTGTATAGATCCAGGAGAATCCGAGGGAACAGACACAAGTGCAATCCAACAGTGCTTTGGCCTTTTAAAGTGTGCAGTTTGCAGTTTCCGCTCTCTAGTCGCTATCAAAGACATGATAGCGTTGTTAATCATCATCTTCAAACCAATGAATTATTCAGCACCGTGTTCAGGGTGGCAGCTCTGTGTTTAAACACAGACTTCCAATGCATCACAGCCAAAGAACAGAAGCTACTGCTGCTTCAAGTACTACAGAAGATGTGTTCCATGTTTCCATTTATCAAGCTAATTAACTACATGTTTCTGACTTTGGACTGCTGTCTGAGTCAACATGGCCAAATTGTCAAAATCCGTTGTGCTGTATTGGAGATCTTTCCATAGATATCGATTAAGCCTAGGTTATCAGTTCGGACTGTGAAAAACCAGGATGTATGTGTACATAATAATTACCTATTGCATTCCATACCCTACTAGTCCATTAGCAGAGAGGCTTATATGTAGAAAAGAGCTGTTTTCAAATGTCAGCTATAACACTGCTTTGAGGATTTCACATAAGGATCTTTCCAGTATAAAAGAATGTGGTCCTGTTCCAACAGGTTTCCTCTTGATTGCTGCTCATCAGAGAAGCTCCCTTGTGATTGGCTTTGTCTGTGACCCTCAATACGTTCAGGTGCTGATTATCAAATTAGTTTCTAAATTACTAGGTGCACCTGCTTAAAATGAATGCTGTCTATTACAGCAGTCCTGCAATTAATCCTTAATCCTACTCTCATGAAGGTTTTGCTGAATCTGAATAAGTGTTGATTCAAGTCATTGTGGAGGTTGTGGTTTGTGGTGCTTTTGGGTTGGATTGCATTATACTCGGTTTTTGTCCATCCCATTTATATAGACAAGGTCAGACTAAATAGCATCTCTTTATACCTATATAGTTTTACATCATCCTGATTTTTTAAAGTTATATTCTAGTAACATGAAACCTTTATTAAACAAAAGGGAGTCAAGTTTAAGTTAAGTTTACAGTATATAAATGTATTAACTCATGGGGCGCTTGGTCTCTCTGATCATGAAATGTGAAGACTGCCCATGTAGGTGGGAGTATTTTCCACTTGGGAAAAAAACTGATTTACAGCTCTACAGTATATCTACTTACAGGATGATAATGTATGCATGAATACTGTACTATGCACGAAAATAAAGGCAACAACTCTGTAAACAAAACTGCAGGGAGCTGTCTAGTGATCAACTCCAATTAAATCAATTCAGTCATTGTCTTATAGATCATGTATGGATAAGTGCTGCTCAGTGCAATCACGCCTGAGTGTATGCAGGTAAACAAGGACCTTTGGGAGGGCTGAACTACAGCAGTGAATTATGGGAGGTGCTCTGATTATGGCAGTAGGTGGCGCTGTGGAGACATTATTTTTGATCCCCAGGAATTTCCTCTCCAAGAATGCTTACCTCACCCTACACAAATTAAGAGTCTCAATTAGGTGTCAACACTTTTGCACGCTTAATATTATGATTACATGTTCTATGTATTTCAGTTAGTATTATATATCGCAACTTATGCCGCCTAATATACAAGACGAGTCCCGGAAATGTTAAAAATAAATGCAGATAAACATTGCGGTTATAGCTACATTTCAGACATGGACTAAGATGACAAACATCGAACATCACTGGAGTGATCTATGATGTTTTTTGCTTTTAGTACCTCGGCACACCGGAGGATGGAGCTAACGTGGGTGTCTGGGAAACTTGGCTGTTACTGCTGAGCGTAAAAGGGGCGTTTTGGAGCTTTGCAATGTTTGTCTTGGCGGTTCCAGGTGTGTTCAAACCCGTAGCAGACAAACGCAAGCAGATGTCACTTGGATCCCAACTGCTAAAGCCGCCTACCGGTGATCTCTGCTGTCTATGTTCAGTCTGCCCACAGGTAGGAGGTATTTCTCGTTGACGCTCTACATTTCAGCGACAGACGTTCCACAACCTACCGCCGAGTGAGTAAAATACCCTCTGTTTACATTTTGTTCTGAATACTTGGCACCGGGAGGCGAAACAAACCGTCGATATGGTTCCAGATTAACAATGGGGAGCCTAAAACCTTGACTGTTCTTTGTAATAGTCTCGCTGCTATCAACTCTCCTGTTTTACGCACAAGGAGCGTTTGGAATTATTACAACAGAGGCAAGTGAGCGCACACCGGAGCATAAACCCGTGGGATGACAGACCTCAGCGGCAGATTCACGGGTGAAAATCAGCCTCATAAATGTCAGGAAGATGAAATCCCCAGCAGGTCGGGAGAATAACTCAGGAGGGTTTATTAGGCCACGTCATTTAGCGCTCATTTAACAACAACAACAACAACAAACAGGGGCGACTGTAACCAGTTGGATCGTTATTAGAAAAGGAGTCACAATGTCCAGAACACTGAAGAAGAAGAAACACTGGTCTAGTAAAGTGGTGGAGTGTGCGGTGTCATGGGGGAACCTGGGGGAATTTGGCTCAGTGGTGGAGGTCCTAGGAGGAGCAGAGCTGGGACAGTTCCCGTACCTGGGTCAGATGAAGCTGGATGTGCTGGTGTGTCACGTCGGGAAGCTGCCCTACTACGGGGACGTTTTGCTGGAGGTGAACGGGACGCCTGTCAGTGGACTTACTAACCGTGACACCCTGGCTGTCATACGCCACTTTCGGGAGCCGATTCGTTTGAAGACGGTCAAGCCAGGTGCGTCCCTTTTCTGTTTTCAGCTGCTACTGGTGTCACATGAGCTCAGTTTTTGATCTGTGACATCCACTAAACACAACAGCCCTCATGCCTAGACACACATCCGGCACTATAGCAGTAAACGGAAACATTGGTGCCTTTAT